ACACTTAAAATTTTCTTTGAAAATTATTTTCATAAAATATTATAACCCTTGACAAGAAACTACAGAACAAGAGAAGGACCATTATCTACAACGGTTATAAAGAGGCTTGCCAGTCAGGCCACTTGGTACGTAATAATTCAGCTTGTGTGACGCATGCCCTACGAATAAAGACACTATGTTTTTTTTGGTTCCATTAATATTTACAAAAGAAAGGCGGCCAAGAATATATTGAAACAAGTGATTGAATTCTTTTGTTTTGGTTTCAATTCATCCTCCCAGAGAAAGAGAGTTCTTGATTAGTTAACAGTGACAGAGGCTGCTACTTAAAGTGACTATATGCACGCCCTCGTTCTGACTTTTATTATACTGGCGGCTTTTGAAATGGTAAGATTGTTACTTGTTAGATGAAAAGTATATACCAAAGAAACATAAGATATACAATATAAAACTGAACATTTATCCACATTCAAGTTTGTGCGTGTGTGGGTGTGTTTGGAAAAAGCAGTTAAGATACACAATATAACTCCGTATAATAAGAATTGAATTTTTTTTTTTTTTTGGATGATGTGGAAATCCTTGTAACTTAAGTCACACAATTTTTTTAATGGGTATCGCTTTCACATTTCGAGCGCGCTCCCACACTTATGTTTCGCCCGAATTTTAGCTCAAATTTTCACTATTTATGATTTAATTATATCGCTCTCGCTCCCGTTTTATATGATTTAGCTTACAACTACTCGCTCTTTGAATTTATAACTATTAGGTAAACTCTTAACTACTCACCTCGACCTTATAATACAAGTTATATTTTAAATCAGAACCTTACAGAGTTAAGAGGAATCAAACCAACACCCAAATACATATATGATTGTCTGAAACCTCTCCTTCCACCAACTCCACTGGTGCCCTGAGGAATAAGAATTGATAGTTGTTAGATGGTTAGTGTCAAAAAAAAAAAAAATATATATATATATATACTTATGACTTGAGTCATAACTCATAGGTAGGAAGTAAACCTATCACCTTGACCTCATCTCATAGTCCTTAAATGCGACAACATTCCATTTATACCCTTTTTTTTTTTTCTTAAGCAAAGTGTGTGCCTGAGTGAGTTTTTTCTCAGAATAAAAAAATAAAAATTTCTTGAACCTAAATCTTTTCATACCTAGAGGACGATCGTAGACCTAAAACTACGCAAGAGATAAAAGGAGAAAGTATAAAAATAATATATATATATTTATTTATTTATTATTATTTTTTTTCTTTCTCAATCTGATAATAAATTTACACACAAACGCTAATTAATTAGCTTCTATTTTAAAAAGTTGAAAGCTCATGAAGTAGTACTGAACTATAATCCTTGGTCAATAGCTTTCTTAATAAAAAGCAACCAAATGAACAACCCCTTTCTTCCAAAATATTGACTTGTAGAGTAATTTGGTGGCATTTAAGATGACAAGGGTGATAGGTTAGTGATATTGTTACAGTGTACCTAAACAAACAGAACAATAGAGAGTTTAACTGCTCTTAGATGTGTACTGAATTTAATCTTTAATTATAGTTTTCAACCAAATAAACCATATGGCAGTGACATTCATTTAATTTGAAATGACATGAAATTCGAATTTTCCACTACAAAGAGGGAAAGAGCACCATTTGGTCATTACCTATATTGTTAATCACATCTATACATAATAATAATATTAATAACACAGCTAAACACAATATTGACTATGTAGGGAAAATCCATTTTGGTCATTACCCATTGTTAATCATACCTAATACAAAAAATTGACCCACACAAAGAAAGAATAAAAAAAAATAAAAAAAAGGGGCACCATTTTGGTCATTACTCATTGTTAATCACATCTATACAAAAAAAAGTTGAACATCACAAAGTGACACAACTCTAGCTAACACCATATTGATTATGTTGGGAAAAAGCAACATTTGGTCATTTCTAATTGTTAATCTAATACAAAAAATTGACCGACACAAAGTGACAAATTCTAAGTCTCTATCTAAACACAATACTTAGCACTACTTTGTGTCGGTCAATATGCATGCACATATAGATTTTTGGATTTGCTCGTGATCTGAATCGTTTTTGAAATTAAATCTTTCACTTTCTCTTCCATTCTCGGTCTGGATCCCACATGGCATACCTATTATTATATATATGTTGGAGGTATAGATTATTAGTCAAGTCATATTTACATTTTATGTTGTACCCTCATTTAGTCTACAAATGATAATTACATCTTTATCATCACACAATTCTGCAATTTTCAAGTGACGCTTTAAAAAAATTGGCAATTTTATGTGATATCATACAATTTCACTATATATATATATTTTTTTTAGCAAGAAAAAACATTGAAAATATTAATAATCCATTTCTAATTTCTCACTTGAAAAATAAAAAATAAAGCAAATAAAGTTACGTATCAGATTCGAATTCTCGTGAGTGCAATGAATTCTTTAAAAATTATGACGGCAACGAGTTTTATCCAATTCGTATGGAGGGATTGATTCGTCCCGAACAACCCAGTTATAAAAAAAATAATAATAATAACCTTATAATTTTCAACTTAAACAAAGTTTTATTCCATCCGTTTGAAGTCAATTATGTGAATCATGTCTCAATTTCTATTTTATTAGTATTCCCCTTTTAACAACATTATTCTCAAATCTCAATATGAAGCATTATAAATCTAAGTTGCTTATGGAGTCCTATTCGTACTCGATTTGTTTGATGTCATCTAATCCCACTGGTATTACTATAATTGGCATAAGAATATTATCATCAATATTATTCATTCCTGTCTTACCACATCTGGTTTAGTATCTGTATTTTAGTTATACTCAATTTATGAATATTTTATTTCTTAACGGTTCAACATTTTGTTATACTATACAAAGATCAATTTATTTTATAGAAGTAAAAGGATTGTATTTATTAAATTCTTAACCGTTAAACGATTTTTACCACATTTTGACAAGAATTCGATGACGACTTACACTCAACACAACTTTCCTCCCTTTTTTTTTATTTTATATTTTTTTATATTTAGAATCAGTGGCATAACATAATATAATAGACATAGGATAATTATTAAATAAAAAAACATGTCTTATTAGCAAAATTATAGTCATTCGTTTTTATTAAGCAGATTAATAACAAAATAATCAATATATTGTCGTCACTCTCTTAGCTACAATCATCTATCATTACGCCCACCCTCACTAATAGTAGTAATAAAATAATGAAAAATGATAGAAAAATCGAAAATTTTCACCAAAAGAACTGCCGAACGTTTGATTATGTAAACTGTTCTTTCTAAACCTGACGTTCCGTTCTCTCTCTTTGTTTCTCTCTTTCTCTTGTTCTCTTCTAATTTAGGCACAAGTGACTTTATATTAATCCAATGTCGAGGAATTTATCTCTCTGTAAACCCTTTTGATTGCTTGAGTTCAATTGAAAATCCGTGAACCAAAGAACTCAAAAATTGTGTTTATATACATTAAAAACTGAAGAGTTACTGATCGATCAGGATAGAAATATAGCTTAACCGATCCACGGACCCACCCTTACAAGGTTGAAACCCTAATTATAGTGTTGGGAGGTTCTTCCGATCATACTTGCGTTCAATTTGATTGATCTTGGATTATCGTTGTTATACTAACCCTGTAAATTTAATTATTTCATGAATACATGCATAAATTGGAGGAATCTGGATACCTTACATGGTTTTGGGTCTCTCTCTCTAGAAAACATCCGATAGATGTGTGAAGGGGAATCAAATGATTTGGACCCACTTTCGACAACAATATATCTCAAGGTTCCATTTTAGAGGTTTCTTATTAGTTTTTCTGTTAATTAACATGGAGAAGAATCAATGAAGGAGATAAAGAACTAAAGGAAGAGGGAGAGAGAGAGAGGAAAAAATCAAAGAGATGGAGATGACATGGCTAGAGTCACGTCACGTTCGCTCCTTTTTTTGGGAGAAACGTTTAATTTCTCTATCACGGCTCTGAAATAATTTCAATGTTCATTTTCCCATTTCACTGGGGGTGTAATTGGGGCAAGTCAACCCAAACTCAATAGGAGTGTAATTTGATTTTTCACGGGCTTGGACACGTAGTTATTTTTACAATTAGGATTGAGTGTGAATTGAAATATCTCAATTCCAACTTAATTAGGGTTGTACCTAAATTGAGATGCTAGCAATTCGAGCCCAATTCAAACATGAATTCTAATATTATTTTTATATATTTTATTGTTATTTTAAATACAATATATTTATAAAAATAATTTCATAATTTCTTAGTCAACTGTGAGTTAAAAAATTTATCCACACTAAGCATGTAAAGGTTTAATATGATTGTTATTATTATTATTTTTTTTGTAATTATATTTTTTGCACTTAAATCATATTTAACGTTACCATGTTTGGAATAGAAAAAAAATTTTTGCCCACCAAAGAGCATGATGAACTATTTATTTATTTATTTATTTATTTTTTGTGATTAGGAGTAATGAAATATTCCGTATGAAACTAAGTCAAGGTTACATTAAATTTTTAATGTGAAGATTGACCTAATCTGACATTCTAACTTGAAATTTTGGTCAAAAAATTTAAAAATAGAAGGATGATTTAAGCTTGGTTGAACGTCGAATTAAAGTTGGAGGTTAGAACATTTTATTTGTTGGGTTGGGCTCGAGCTGTAGCTCCAACCCACCCAAACTGCCCAGATGCAGCCCTACATTCAACATTATATAGAAAATACATACATCGGGATCCAATCTTTCCCCATGACTAGTGAGTGGAGTTTTATTGACCACAATAAGGCCGCACCCAGCCCAGAATAAGGGGTTTTGCGCCTTTCAGAAAGCGGGGGAGAAACCGAAAATATAGAACATTTGGTTCCGTGCCGAAGCCCAACCAATCGTTAATACAATAATACTCTGGGCTATTTACCACCCGAATCAGGTCTTTCATCGCCTCTCTCTCTCTCTCTCTCTCGCACACAGCGCAGGCAGAAACGAAACAGAAGCATTTGGAGGTTATATTCAGAAATTATACTTCTTCACGCCGACAGCCTCGGAAGGTCAGTCTCTCTCTCTCACAGACACACAAGATTGTCGTGAGCTTGTGTGTTTGGATATATATATATATATATATATATATATATATATATATCTTGCACTCTGCTACTTTACTTGATAGTTTTATATTAGCAGTATACAGAGAAGCAATTTCAGGGTTTATTTACTCTATTGCCTCACAACATGAACATACATGTATTTATTACACACACAATACTGTAAAAGAATCAAACATGTTTATCCCAACACTTGCACTGTTGAATTTGGGTGTTTCGCGATTTCTTGCCTTTCTCAAGTTTGTATCTGTGCTTGTTTTTTATTCATAGGGTAGTATAGGGAAGTATTATTGAGGGTCTTCATATGGTTGCCATTGGTTTAAAAGCTTTACCCTCGAGAAAACACAAAATCAATAACTTAACTGAGGACCGCTTCATGGGTGGGGAACATAATTCGTATGACAAGCCTGGAAGGAAGAAAAGTATGAACAGGAAGGCAATGAAAAAACACACTGGTTTTGATGGGGATCACTCTACTGAAAATTTATCCGGTGGTGGGCGTCACAAAACCTCGAAAGCTCAGAAATTTTCCAAGAATCAAAATGCCTCGGTGGCACAAGCCCCTTTTGTCAGGTTTTATTATTGTTCCGCGCATTTGATTTATGTTATTTGTGTCATTTACAGTGACTGTTATATATGCATATACATACACACGTTGTTGTAGATAGCCAATAAAAGCATCGCTGTGACTTGGAAATATACTTTGTAGGAAACAGGTTGATCCTGAAACAGCAAAGTACTTCTTGGAAATCACAAATGTTATTGAGGGTACTGAGGTTGATTTAGATGAAAGGTCAGTTATATGTGGGAATGCTTTGGAAGAAACCAGAGGGAAAGAACTAGAAGTTGCAACTGATTATATCATAAGCCACACTTTGCAAACCCTCCTTGAAGGGTGTGATGTGGACCACCTTTGTGGTTTTTTGAGAGGCTGCGCAAAGGACTTCGGTCATATTTCTATGGATAGATCTGGTTCTCATGTGGCTGAGACAGCTCTCAAGTCATTAGCTGTACATCTTCAGGATAATGAGACTCATTCTCTCATTGAAGAGACACTCACTACAATATGCCAGGTATGCATGTTAATAAGAAAGAGTTTCAGGTTTTTCCTAGCCGTGTATTTTATTTGATATACACATCCAACAAGTGGTCGTTTTTACAAGAATTTTCTTAAGCCAGTAAATTGCTAGTGGCTAGTGATAGAACCAGAAACTTATTTATTTATTTTGTTGGGGGGGGGGGGGGGGGGGGGGGGGGGGGTGGGAACATTTGATATACCAGAAGGAAAAATAAAGTTGCAAATGTCCATGCTACCTCACTAGCTAATGTGAGAAGTGCTCCTAATTTTCCCTCTAATTTTCATTACTTCAATTCATGACCTACTTTTGTTTGAAATGGGTAGTCTTCTTTCTTCAACGGATGGCAAAAACCATCCATTGAAGAAATGTCCATGCTACCTCCTGCCTAGTTAAAAATTATTATGAACTGGAACGAGCTTGGAATTTTTAGTATATATTAGGCTGGAGATCTAAAGACGATAAAAATGCTAAGGCTATTGAAAATACAATTTGGTGACCAAACTTTGAAGTAACTATTGTCTAGTGACAATGGCTATTGTGAAGTAACAAAATAACCAATGATTTCATGTAAATAATTGCATAACGATTAAGTAGCAATTACTTTTGACATTCACTCTCTACTTTTGTACTTTTCCAATCCACTCTTTCTTTTTCTTTTTTCTTTTTTTTTTTTTAATGATAGAATTATCACTCAAAGAGAGTATTGGGACTTTTTTTTGGATAATTTAACAATTGACTACATTTGCTTTCGAATTATGATTGTGTTAATTAAAAATAAATAAATAAATAACAAAAAAGTGAAGTGCAAGAATACAGAGGTAGAGTGTGAATATCATTTCCCGTCACTAAATTATAATTTCTCAAACTTAAAGAACTATAGGAAACTTTCGGGGACGATTTTATAATTATTGAAAGTATGTATATAAAAGTAAAATGATAAGAAAATTGAGAGGGGTCAGCGGCCTCAATAAGCCAATACTGGCTCTGTCCTTGATAGTGGATCATATTATTCTTGTTTAGCATATGTTTTTATTAATATTATGTAATCAAAAGGAAAAACAAATTGCAGATTGCATTGAGAAAACTTTAAAAAACAGATGTTACAATCATCTAACTGATTGATTTTGATTTATCATTTTATTTTTCCTGGCAGGAAATTATACTCAATCCTGTCGATGTCATGTGTAACTGTTATGGATCTCATGTTCTTCGGAGTCTTCTTTGTCTTTTAAAAGGAATGAGATTAGACTCCTCGGAGTTTCATGTCACAAAGTCATCATCTGTTCTAGCAGAACGGTTGAATTTCAGGCCATCTCGTTTGGGTGGAAATGTTTCACAAGATTTGCAGCAAGGATTTCCGGATCTACTTAAATTCCTTGTATCAGAGATGTTAAACTGTGCGAGAAAGGACATTGAGACCCTGCAACATAATCAGTACAGTAGTTTGGTTCTGCAGGCATGTTTTAACTGCTCTTTTAGTTTCTTATTTTATTTATCATTTTGGAATTCTTATAGTGTTTCCAAGCCCCCCTTTTTTTCACCTGTATTTCCATATATCCTCCTTGGCTAGCACGTTCATTTGCATTTTATTTTTAATGGGTATACGAAGATCAAACGACCATGTTTTTGTCCATGGCTGCCTCTTTACATGTCATGAACTAACAAGGGTCATATCAGTGAGTGTCACTGCTTGGTTAACTATTTTTTTTTTTTCCTTAGTTGGTAATCACACACACATGCCTCAGTGAGGCTTGAACCGCTGACCTCCCTTTGGGAAGTAAGGGCTTAATACCGCTAGGCCCCTGGCCCGTTGGTTGCTTGCTTAACTATTTATATCGTGGTCCTTTTTTATTTTATTTTTTTGACTCATGCTGATATATTTCTTATTTGATGGATTCTATATATTTAATAACAGACTGCTTTGAAGTTATTGGCTGGACAAGAACAAGATCTGTTGCATATAATTCTAATTCTTCTTGGCTATGACATGGAAAATGACGTGGAAGAGAACTTCATAGACTGTACTGCCGTGCCAAACCTTTTAAGTCTGATGAAAGAAAGTGCATATAGTCATTTAATGGAGGTGAGATCTATTAATAGGGTGAAACCAAATTTTCTTTCTATATATGTTCTTCCTGATAATATATTGTGAATAGCTACTCGTTTTTGTCTTTGCTTTAAAGTTCCTACGAGCACACGATTCTATTGATTTGTTCCACGTGTCATTAAATATCTAAAACAACTGTTAATGTTTGAAAGTAATCCACATGCCTTCAAAATATTGGAGAAAAACAAGCAAAATAATGATATATTCTGATGACAGTTTTTTCACCTAAAAACTTGAATATGTTCTGCTATAATTAATTCACCGTACTGCAGAGTAAAACTACCGTAGAATTTAACAGTTGTCCTCATTTCCCATAGATAACAACTAACTTTTACGATCTTCCGTATATCAACAAATTTTTACTTATTAGTACTAGTTTGTTTAGCTTCGAAATATTTTTATGACATTGCGGGTGGCAGACTTGGAATAGATTTGCATTGTATGTGTTCTCTTGATGCTTTTGTTTTATTTGGTTCCACTTTAAACACTCCAGCATCAATTTTTTTTTGCTTTTCAAATGTGATCACCACATATACGTGCAAAGGTGCTTGCATGAACTACGACCAAAACGTAACACATACAAATAATATGCTATTGCTTTGATGCTTGGTTACTTGTTTTAGAAAGAGAACTGAGTGTCTTATTTGTGAAAATAAAACATGTAAAACAGTCGGTCTTTATCCCTTAATGACACCTTTAAGACAAAATTAACTGTCCTGTATGGTTAATTTCCTAGAGTATCTGATTCATTGTTTCAGATGCCAATGTGGAAAGTTCTACGTTTTCTGTTGAAGAAAAATAGTTTGCACATGTCCAATCACTGTGATGACAGTATTTCATTGTAGTGATTTTTCATTATTGATATGGTAGCTTATCTAATATAAGTTATAACATACACATGACTGGATGCCAAGGTATTATCCATTCATACCCCTTCTCCCAGAATATGATAAGAGGTTAAATTTTAAGCATTCATTATTTGACTATACGTTGAAATTTGATCATCTCACAGTACACTTCTATATGGTTTGCTTTCATGAAGCTCTAATTTTCTTGATCTCAATGCAACTTTTGCAGGTCATGTTGGAAGTGTCTCCTGAAACCTTATACAATGAACTATTCACAAAAGTTTTTAGGAATTCATTGTTTCACTTGTCTTCTGATCCATGTGGGAACTTTGTTGTCCAAGCATTAGTTTCTCATGCAAGATATCAGAGTCATGTAAGTACTTTAATGCTTTATTTGAATGAGCATTTTACTCCTTGTAATATATGACAAAATAACCAACCTCTGCCAACCGTACATATTGTTACATGGGTTAAGATTTGTTTTTCATTGCAGTATATCCCATATTGCTCCTTGGTGTGCAACTAAGTTCTACTACCTTGAGATGTTTATATCACTTCTGATATTTATTGTACAATTTGCTCTTGCAATTAATGGTGCTTTGACTTCTCATTTTTCTTTGTTTTTTGTTAAATGTTTTCTTTTCTTTTTCCTACTAGATGGATTTTATTTGGGAGGAACTTGGTACAAAATTTAAGGATCTTCTCGAACGGGGAAGGTCTGGAGTTATTGCTTCTCTCATTGCTGCAAGTCAAAGGCTTCATAGCCATGAACAAAAGGTTCACAACTTAATCATCATCCTTTCAATGTTTGCCACATGTGCACTACAAAATAGCTTTGCTATAGTTCCACTTCAATTTTAATGTATGTGTGACAAACGCTGCAAACCAAGAACACAATCAAGAATTACGACAGAAAAGTAAACACGCCACACACAAAATTCAGGCCACAACATCACAATGCATCTGAAATTCATTCTCACAATGAAAGAATGGACCTTACTTAATGAAACTGATCAAAAGAGCCGTACTTTTTATACTATTTCACATGCTTTCGGATTAAACTCTTATTAATCACATGTTGCGTTTTACTTCTTTGCAGTGTTGTCAGGCCCTTGTTGCTGCTGTATGTTCGGCGCTTGACTCTCCCACATGCATTGTTCCTCGAATTTTATATCTTGAAAGCTACATCTACTGCGAAGACAAATCCAACTGGAATTGGCCAAAAGGTGTTAAGATGCATGTTATGGGATCTTTGGTTCTACAAACTGTTTTTAGACTTCCAAATGTATGCGGCTATTCTTGCATTTTTTATGCTCTCTTTTGTTCGTTGTACTTTTGGCACTGCTCATCTTTTCTTCTATAATACAGCATTAGGTGTTCAACGTCTCATTCATGTCAACTATTTGATGTTTAGCATATTTTATTCAGGCGGTCTGTTTTGCTGGAAAAAATTATGTTGATCTTCTTGTACTGTTCATCAATTATTGTTGACATTACTGATAATAAATAGTTTTTTTTTTTCTTTTTCATTTTTAGTTTATTTCTCCCAGACGAAAATAAAATGGATATCTTCAGGTACCCCATCTTCTATAGTGTCCACGTCCAATACCGATTATGCCCATAAAAATATTGAGTCACTGGTATTGTGCTGGCTCTCCCGTTGGAAACTTCCAGTGTTAGGCCGTCAGCCACTGGTCTTTTGTGTTGGAATAGAATATACTAAAGAATGTATTTCTTTCAAATGTAACTAATCAACAAGGGTAGTTTTATATGTTAAGCTCCCTGTTCAAAAGATTTTTTATATGATAAAAAGATGTGGAGATTAGACTTATTTATGGGAAATGGCTGCTTAAAGACTTGAACCCTTATTCTCATGCTTATGGGTAGTGAGTTTATTATACCATTGAACCAAGCAATGATTTTATATAAACCACACAACATTAGTAAATGTGACATGTTAGATGGTCATGCTAGGATAGTAGGACCTAGGTTGACAATTTGTCTACAAAACAGTGTGACATGTTAGATGGTCATGCTAGGATAGTAGGACCTAGGTTGACAATTTGTCTACAAAACAGTCTGTATTTTTTTATTCAAGTTAGTTTGTGTTTTTTTAAAGTGAGTTAGTTGAGTTATCTCTATCCAAGGGCTTCATGGAGATTCAATTAGGGTTTCTAATCATGCATTCTCATCATTCCTCTCATTATTTATTATTAGGTTATATTGCATAAATGTTTTGATTCTTAAGAAGGTTTTGTTAATGATGAACTGTGTTTTCATTGAAAAAGTCAAGTGCAGGAGCTTTGATTGATCAAAAAGGTTCAATTGTACCTGAGCTGGATCAATCAAACTTTATGGATGCCAGTTTTCAATTTGGTTTCAAGTACCAAAAATAATTCTTTTCATCCTCAAAGCTCTTTATAAAGATCTCAAGCTTTCAAAAACATATACATGCATACAGAGACATACACGGTGCATATTGAGCGCTTACAAACATTTAATAGCAGTTTCTATCTTTTATTTATCATCATTGCATAATAGATGATGAGTGTTTCTCTTGAGTGTTTACTGTGCAACCAAAAGTGCTTAAAAAAGTCAACACCAACACTCTACACAAACCAAACCTGGAGTTTTGACGACTAGTAGAGGAGATCAATTAAAAGAGGAAGAGCATATCAAGTGAGGAACGGATTTGTAGACTTTGAACCGCAGATTTTGAGGATGAACATCTGGCGTGGGTCTGGATTTGTGATAACTAGGCGTTTGTAGGGTTTTAGAAACTGATACCTAAGTTGTAAACCTTTCTCCATCGTGGATTTGATCTGCCTGGACTAGGTCCGTCGTTTTTTTCTGCTAAAAAGTCAGTGGTGGTGTGGATTTTGATTTATTTTATTTTTCAGTACTATGCTGATTTTTACTGTTTATTTGATTGTTAGTTGAGATATAAATTTCCGTGAAGTTAGTCATTTGTTTTTGGTAGATAGTTAGTTATGATATATATATCTGTTTAAATCATTAATAAATATTTGTAAGACCTATTCGACCTCCTCTAGATTTGGTTTATGTCTGGTTTGGGGTATAGAACTACTTCAGCGTACTCTGATGTATTAGAGCCTAGGGTGCTGGTCTGATTATACAGGTCACAATTAGTAGCTCATGCTGAATTCTTGCAAGGAGAGTTTCTTCTGGCGTTTATGGTGTGTTAGACCCTGGGTTCACCAGATACATGGTGCTGGCTGCTGGCATCTTCAGATTATTTTTCATATATGCGAGTCTGTGACTGCAGCCGTCATCCATGCTCGTTTCAACATGCTATGAACTTTAGTAGTTATATACTGGTTTTACTCATGTATATTGGTTTCCATTTTTTTATGCATTATATCATTTATATTTATGCTAGCGTGGCTTGTAATACATTTATGGTTTACAGGAATTTATTCAGCCTTATGTTGCGAGTATCACATCCATGGAAGCTGACCATGTTCTTGAAGCATCAAAGGACACTGGGGGTGCACGGGTTATTGAAGCTTTTCTAAGTTCAAATGCATCTGGAAAACATAAGCGCAGATTAGTCATAAAGTATGTCATGTGTCTATATTGGTTGCTCTTTGCTCATATCAAAAGTCTTTTATATATGATTAGGCCGTTTGAATAGATTAATTAAGTTAATCAAAATGCTTACTGGAATTCTAACCTTATGTGAATCACAGTACAATCTGATGTTTGTTTGAGATCCTTCTCTGATTTTGACCACTTTTATCAATATCTTTTAATATGAGAAGCAATGTAAAGAAATAATACTATTTTAATGGTGCAAAGTGATTTCGTGCCTTAAGAATGGCATTTCTTGGAACCTTAGTTAATTGGAATCTTTTGGGGATAATTTTTTTTGATAAGTGGAATCTTTTGGGGGATAATGGGAAAGATATTTCTAATTTAAACAACTTGAATAATTATAACCAAACATGTTTGCTAGTAATAAAACTTAAAAAGATTAATTTAAGTAGCTAAGTCATGTGAAGCCAGTTGCCTGGTCCAGTGGTGTTGGTATAACACTTGGGGATCAGTGCCACAGACATGAATTCGAGCCTCAAAGCAGATACTATTAGAAATAACAAAAGTTAGACCTGTCTCAAGTCCTTGCTCTCTGGGACTGGTGGTACCAGAATTGGGTAACGCCCTTTAAGCCATGTGTTAATTGAGGAAATATTTCAAATTTCCTGGAAATTTAAAATATTTGTTTTGTGTTCTTTCTTTCTTTCTTTTCTTTTCTTTTCTTTTTTTTAAAATTTTTTATTTATTTATTCTTTCTTTCTTTCTATTTCTATTTTATTTTTGTAAAAGCCATTACCTAGTGAACTTAGTTTTGTTCTTGCCAATGTGGGCTTGTGGGAGGGGTAGTAGACCGTATGTAGTCACAACCATTGACATTATATTCCATATTGGTTGCCTTCAAATTCAAAATTGTGTTCTCACTGTTGTAGACCAGTGAATTTAGCATTGCACCAAGCAATAGCCTGAACATATTGAAGTTTTTGTCATTGATTTTTCCTTTAGAATTCTAAAAATGTGACACAAATATGCATACTACCGAAAAACCCGAACATTTTATGTGAGCCAAATAAATAGTTCATTGATATGCAATGTCCTTTAAAAGGACATGTTAATTTGATGGTATGAGGTCTGTTCAGTTTTTATTTTGCCTCAACCCCTCCATCTGGTCTAGTTGCCCTTGGAACCTTTATAGTGACCTACTTGTAGGACCATGGCACTGTTGCTTGATGTGGAGCATGTGAAGAAGAAGAGTAGCAGTCATGGAATTTCATATGTAGCCAACTTTTGTATTTTCAACAAGTTCTGGTTTATGAAGTTCTATTTGTTTTAATAATAGGTTAAATTATTTATATTTTATTAAATTTTGGAAATCTATATTAATCGTGAAAACTTTTGATTTGGTCATTGAACTTGGAAGTGGACTGTATACTGTATAGTGTCCTTGTTTCGTAGTCTGTTTTAAGTTATGTCAGTAAATGTTCCACTCAATGAATTTAGTTTAATTTTTTTAAAAGTTTGTGTGATGCGACCCTGGAGGGGTAAATTTTGAATTCCTAGTACTCTACATGGGACCTTTTTTTTGGATGAGGTAAATCTATACGGGACCTTCTTTTAACTTTGATGCTTAATTTTGTAAGGGAGATGGGAAAAGGGGTGGGAGAGGAGGGATGGAAGAGGCATCCAAAGGGAGGGTGTCCATCCTTCCTTTTGTTTGGTAGTGGATAGGAGGAAGTAAAGGGATGACATTGTTTTAACACTATACCCAAATATATGTAAATTAATACACTCAAATGAGGCTAATAATTTATTTTCAATTTTATCCAACAAATATCCTTCTTGTTCTTTCCTTTCCTCCCAACTTTGAATTGAGGCAAATGGTAGGCCAAAAGGAATCGCCTCTACTATCCTTCTGTTACGGGGTTGGGAAATTTACCCGTGACACCTTCCATCATTCCCCTATTCCTCCTCTCTACCAAGTACCAAATAATGGAAATTTGCCTTCATCTCTCCTCTCTTCCCTTCCTCCCTCTTCTTTCCCTCCTACCAACCGTAGTTTAAACATCCTACCTTGAAAATCTCAAGCCATTCCTTAATAAAAAGCTTAACCCTATCAACCCAAAACACAAGTATTAAATTACTGCTCATTGGCTATATTGTTCAACGTCCCTTATCGGCTCTTGTTTCATTCTCAAGCACTCTATTCTATCAGGTATTAATTATTTAATGCTACAAATCCTCAAGTACTAGCTGTCAGCATGTCCAGAAATTTCAGCAACCATTTACTTTAAAAAAAATAAAAAATTCCTGCAACCTACTCTTAATACCAAGACAATTCTCTCTCTTCCATTCACTTCTAAATAAAAAATTAATTAATGAAAAAAAAAAAAAAAAAAAAAAAACTTCTTCCATTTGCAAGCTCTACAGGTCTTTCACCCTTGTAGAACCCCATATAGGTACAGGATTTAGGTGATCTTTGTCCATCAGAAACTAAGGGTTAAGAGCAAAAAAAAACCCCCTGATATATAGACTTTGTGCAAAACTAGTCCCTACTTTTTGAAAATGTGCATGCAAGTCCACAAAATTCAAAAAAGGTGCAGAACTAGTCCCTCTGACCACCTTTTTACAAAAAGTAAAACTGAAAACCCCATTTTACCCTTTTGTTTCCCATTTTGCCCCACCCATTTGTGCATATAAGGGCCTCACCCATTTGTGCATATAAGGACCCCCACCCCTAAACCCAATTCGTCTCTCTCTCTCTCCGTGTCTGCTTCAATTCTTTTTTTCTCTGTTTATTTTTTAATCTCTCCATTTCTTCATGGTTAGGACGATTTTGTGGGGTTTTTAGCATTTCTTTCTTTATCCATAACTGCTCACTATTTATATTATTAATTGTCTCAATTTTTTTTTTCATTTACTCCAAAACATGCCATCATCAAACTGGTCAGTTCTGAAACCTGAAACACTTGATTGTAGACCACCAGTCCCTAATGCTATAAGATATAAAGATATATACAAAATTCCCATCTGAAACACATATATATTAACCTCATGAAGGGAATGTATAAAAATTCAACGGATCCGGGTTCTAGCATAATCCATGATAATTGGAATAAATAATAATTACAAATATTATATTAAAAATTATTTAGAAAATTCATGTTAATTGTCCAACACAGTTTGATGTAAGGCACAAACAATTATTTGGCTAGAATTGTATAACACAACCAATGGAGATCACGAGATTTCCTTCTGACTCGTCCAGATGGTGTTGTTGCCATTGATTGTAAGTTGAATGCTCTGTAGTTGATATATATATATATATATATATAAGCCAGGGAAGGTCGATACGAACCAGTCCTTATAGAAGGAGAGCACTCATCTTGTTAACTAGTTTTTGAGAGAGATTGTCAACATATTTTGAGAATGAGCCAGAGCGGATGCCAGAAGATCAGACCCGTATTCCATGTTGGGAAATCAATGCTGGGAAATCCTATTCATTTTTTATCACAACCGTGAGGTATCCCTGACCCCTGTCCCAGTAACGGAATTGGACAGCTTTCAAGCGGCAGCGGCAGACCCAACTCGTTAGTTTGGTCCTGCGTTTGCTCTTTCCTAAATTCCTCCCAATCTTACTGAAGGAAGTGTTCAAGTGGTTGCATTCTTTGTGCGGGATATATGGGCTTTTCAATCTTCTAATCTTGATTTCCTTAAATAGATCTTCCTCTTTCTTTTCTCTAACAAAGAGGGGGTAGTTGAATGCGCAGTGATATATACTAGTATGTATATATTAGGAAGAAGCTAAACACAATTTTACACAAATTTGTACAAAAAGGTCATTTTACGTGGCCTGTATTTATAATCATTAATTTATTCAACTGAAGTGAGGGTATTACCGTCATTTTACACCACCCAGGGACCTATTTGCACCAAATTGATATTATAGGAGGGTTTTTTACCACACAGGGACTGATATGCACTATATCGATAGTAGAGGGGGGTTTTTTGCACTTAGCCCTAAAACTACCCTCACTTTGATTGTAATCAATAGCAATATGTCTTTTCCATTCATCTCCACCAAGCTTAAGCCTCTCATAGAAATCTTTGCCCTCTTCTTGTTGGATAGATGGTTAAAATGCCTCCATTGACATTGTTAACTACGACAAATAACTGATTGCCAATTTTTTTTTTTGAGTGAAAATACAGCTTCCAAATATTTGTGCAATACCTTTGAGATAACCCCATTAGTTTCACCCTAAGGGCCCGTTTGGCATGCGATGTGTTTTAGGCGTTGATGTAGGACAAGGGTAGCCTCAAATAGTTGAAATAAAAAGGAGTTTATTGGCTGAAAATTCTAATAAACATCACTGGGGTTCAGTAAGTGTAAGTAGAGAGAAAGGATTGAAAATAACAAAAAAAATCTATTGGCATCACACCAAACAGAAAACAAAAACCTATTGGAATCACTCCAACAGGGCCTAGGTATAACACCTAGAGAAGGCCTCACACCCTCGTATCTTGTGAATCACTCACAAAGAAATCTCAAAAGACTTTTTATATTCATTCCTTCATTGCCTGACCAAGTTTACATCATACCCTTCTTATAGCAACTTATGATCCTTGGATTACCGTATAACTGAGGTAATCAAAAGTTGACCCTAGCATAATAAAAGAAATCACCCCATAATTGAGGTAATTAATATTTGACTCACATAATAAAGGTAATTGCTACTAATTGACGCTGGTTACCATAATTATTCAGTTTTGACCTAATCCCCCCAATTATGAATGACTGTAAGTGGACCCCACTTCACCTAACATGTGCCATGCCAAATCAAGGCTTGAGCTCTAGAATCCTTTCCCTTGCCTTTTATACATTTTAAGACACTGCTGCCACTGTCCTTTACTTGCTGCCACTGTTCTTTACCAGGTGTTATGTTTTTGGTCAATACCAAAACAACCGTTTTGTTGTACGAGTGTTTTGGGTAGAAATCGGAACCATGTTTGGTAACGAAAATTTGTTTTGGGAAATTCCGAAATTTTGCTACAATACCAAAACACACAATATCACCAATTTGGTGATATGGGTTTGGGCAAAAAAATCTGATATGTTATGAACTATTCCAAACCAATATCAGCGGTCCCAAACATGAAATGAGGCCAAATTTAGATACCAATATCAGAAAAACAATCTCATAACGCTTGCCAAACGGGCCCAAACTAACAATGTTTTTCTATAGAGGCCCTGGTTTCATGTCACTTATGTGTCGGAACTCTTAATATTTGACGCATCCTAGGCACATGCATCAAAACACAAACTACTTCAAATTTCTGACGTGCTGGCACTTTTCAGACTCCTCCCCACCCTGCCATCAAAAAAAAAAAAAATTCAAATATATATATATATATATATAGGCAACATCACACCACATCCTTGCTTAAGATCATTAATTAAAGAGTGAGAGAGAGGAGGAATTCTGGATTTGCTTAAACTTGATGATTCCACAAGTTTCTGTTTTTAATTCCACATTTTCAAATTTCTAGATATTGATTTGAGCTGGCATATTCAAATTTCATTCATTTGATGACAGAAGTAAGTGCACTTACAGTTGTGATGACTTCATCTTTGTTTTAGCATCTCAAAGGGACTGCATTTACTGGGTTGTCCAGTCTCTTCTTTTATTAATCTTTTGTCCTTGTTGTTTGCTGTTGATTACCTTGAAGGCTTCAAGGACATTTTGGAGAGCTCTCAATGCATCATTCAGGATCATTCACTGTTGAAAAGTGCTTCAACGCCAGTAATGTGTCTCTGAGAGAGACAATTGTATCAGAGTTGTGTTCTGTGCAAACTGAGCTCTCGAAGACTAAGCATGGACATTTTCTCTTGAGGAAACTCGATGTTGAAGGGTGAGTTGTTGGTAATGTGATGACTTTATTGTTGTTTTGCGGCATATCTGTATATATACATTTTTGCTGTTGATGGGCGTTTAAAATCCATGATATATATGTAGTTAAGCCTGCTGATGCTAGCCTATCATATTGATTCTTTCTCCTTTCTCTTGATGCCCGGAGGACATGACTGAAACTTGAATTGGGTCTCTGAAATTTGATTAGGTACTCTGGGAGTACTTTGTAGAATTAGAAAAATCAGTCTACAACTTATTCCCTCTATAAAGTTATTAATTATTACCAACCATTTTAGTTCCTTAATGAGATGCTGCTGAGCCTTTGGTATTTACTGTTTATATTTTATCTACCATTAAATACACACATATATATACACACACACACACAAATATACAAGTTGATGTTCAACTATTTTCCAGATGGTGTGGAGCTGGTTTTTATAGGAAGTTAGTTACAAAGTTCAAGAACTTCCATTTTGGAATTAACTTAGAAGCTATTTGAGCTTTAGAAATTGTGGAGCTATGCTAGTTTTTGGATTGATTTTGATGGATTTAATTTCAATTGTCAAGTCCTATAACCTATTCTGATAGCAATGTTGGACACCTTTAAATAATTGATATATTTTATCAGACTGTGACTGCAGTTGTTACAACCAGTATAAATATTTACACTTCCCATCAATTCAAATCTATGTATGGATACTTCAGTTCTGCGTATTCTTTTTATTACATGTTCTTTGCTGGAGGGAGGAATACATTTGTTTAAGTGCTATTTGATAACTCACTTTAGCACTTAATTTTGAATTAATTAAGTGCTTATTCAATTAAGTGTGTTTGATAATGCAATCTATGACCGAACATCGAACACTTAATATACATGAATAATTTCTTAATTTATAATTATACTTAAAATTCAGCTCTTAAAATTTTCGGTACTTCATTTTTTAGTTCTATCAAACAGCTTAGTTTCTAGGTTTGTGAAAACCATTTCTTTAGTTCTATCAAACAGCTTAGTTTCTAGGTTTGTGAAAACCATTTCTCGGGAAGTGCATATGAAGTTGTTTGCAAATGGCCCCAAATGGCTATTTGTATGCCTCTCTTGACATCAATACACATCTCTTCATGCAGAAGAAACACAGTTGCTGCATTTTCTGTTCAAATTTTATTTGCTCTAAGTTTGCATTAAAACATTAGGGCCTTTTTTGTTTTCTTTACGTACTTGATGGTGAAAGTGATCCATAGAAGTTTCTGTTTTAACATGTTTGTTCCTTCTGAACACTTACTACACTCAACTTTTGGACACAGATTGCTTAATTTTGATGTTCTTGTCTTTAAGTCATGGCTGAAACACTGAGATACCTTGTTTCATCTCATGAAGTAACTAAATTTTTTGAAAGTTTGCTTCTTACTTATAGAAATAATTGATCATAATGTCATGATATCTTCACCTTATTGGTATGTTGTCATTGCCTATTATGCCTTGACAGGTTCCCTCCTGGCCTATGCCACAAGTTTGTGCACACAATAATAGAAAAAGCTTAGGACAATTTCAATATGGTTGCATTAGCTTTATTGTTTAAAAGTTGAACTTTAACAATCCCTCGGTGACAATTTCAATATGATTGCATTAGCTTTATTGTTTAAAATTCAAACTTTAACAATCCCTTGGTTTTTTTAATCTTTATTTGGCATTTCCTATGGTTTTTCAGATTTGCAAAACAACCTGATCAGTGGAAGTTGAGACAATCATCGAAACAATCTACTTATAAAGAATTTTACGCTACATTTGGCTCAAAAGAAACCAAATCCTCCAGAAATGATGTCTTTCTAGCGGAGTCTCATCAAACATCAAAGCCAGAAAAATTGAAGGAGATGAGGAAAGAGATTGATGCTTGCCTCTCTTCCGCTGTTGCACTGTCGCCAGCTTCCCAATTTCTTTCCCCTGAGGGTTCAGGCCGTAAGCGTCGTCTTGAAAGAGCAGAACAGCATGGCAAGAAATTCACGAGACATGCTACGGACGATGATGTTTTGAAAAGCAAGAACAAAAAGCGGAAAAAGAATAATAATAATAATAATACTGGGACAGAAAATGCTTATGCAGAAAGTAAACCAACAGATAGTGTTGGTTACCATCAGAAAGAATCCCAATCTGTTGACAAGAAAGAGAAGAAAAGGCGGAAAAAGGACGGCCTGTAAAATCTTTTCTGTAGAAGCTGAAAGCGTGAGATGACAATTTTGTAGGTTTTCCTTAACCATCTTATGTTTACACTATTAGAGTGAAACTAAGAATTTCATCCAGTTCTACATTTTTTTCGTTTATGTGCTTGTCGTAACTCTTAGCATGTCTTTGGGAAGTAATTTGATTGAGTTGGAAGGTGAAAACTCTTGCTAAACAGAAGGAAACATTATTGTATTCACATCCAAAAATTATAAATACATTTAGCTTTAAAAACTTGATAAGCGAAATAGTAAAATGCATTCTGCATGGGAGTACATGTTTCTCTTGCACTAACTAAACAAGACTACTATAGACTACAGCTAGCAGTGATAGAATGAAAAATGAATTGTAATTGCTGTGGAGGTATTGTTGTTGTTGTTAGCCGCTTGATTCTTCCTTCAGCCATCTTATGGAACTTTGGACCTGGGACCAGAACACGACATCTGAGTCAAAACTGCCAATGGTGGAAGGACTTGAAACTTGGCAAGTTAAGAAGTTACTTGTTCTGTATGGGATTCGAATTACTCGGAGGTATCTTCCGAAAGCTCGAGTCCACCACCCTCTTGAATGGACCCATCCTGTCTCTCTGCAAATCTTTAAGAGCTTGTGAAGAAGAAGATGATGTGCTCGAGCCAGGTAATGTATGTGCTTTTGTCGACAGGAGACGCGCAGCCTGGGCTCCGTGAGGCCATGAATGCAGAATTAGCAGTAGAATTGCTAGAACAAAAGCAGAAAGTGATCTAGAGGAGCAGGACTTCATGACTGGAAGTGTTGAGCTGACTGGTTAGTGGAAAATAGGTTTGAGTTGTTTGTGATGAAGTCTCTGATTTGAGTGAAGTTGTGGGGTTTTAGTATTGATTTATATATAATCTCTTACTTGTTAAAATCCACTGGGGATCTGATGCAAGTGGGATCATGTGATGTTTTCTTTGACTGTTCCATGTTAGGACTGTGACTTCCAGATTGGTTGTCACAGTTTCAGAAGGGTCATGTGATCGGGCACGTGATAATTTAAAATCTTTTGGGGGGAGGTGATGACAATTAAATATTATACTGTCGTTAGATTTTTTTGTGTTATACACATGACCAACCATGTATACAATAATATCAAATATAAATGGTTTTGTATGAAGTTCCGCTCCTGTTGCTTTGAGTTGTCACCTGATATGTGGTTTGAACATATGCACGTTGATAATTTCCCTGCATCTTAACGCACATCAGATACAGTGATCACCATCACTAAGCATTTTGTGTGTTTCAAACATAATAATTTTTATGTTTGTTTTGGACATAGCAAACTTTATAGTTCAAATTATTTACAAATTATATCTAAATTTTCTGTTGTAGTCCCTTTCTTTTTAAGGGAGATTGCTTGATTTAACGGTAAGAAATTTTTATTTTTTTTCCTGATTTAATGAATGGTAAGAACTTACTAAATCAATAAAGATGCTAGTTTAAGTCTCATGGTGGTTACTTAGTGCAAAATAGACATACTCTGCAGGATTAGGCAAGTCTCGTATCTTTACAGTTGTACACTGGGTAATGTATATTATTGCTCCGAACTCAGTGAAGTATTCATATTAATCTTATTAGAAATTGGACCAACATTGGAAATTGGAGTGTTCAGTACTACAAAATAATATAATATATATGTGTTGTTGATTTTAGAGATGTATAAATCTGACCTCAAATAAGTACTGTAGTATATTTACAGCATTCTTTCTCCTATATGGGACAATATTGGAAATTGGAAGGAAGACCACTTAGAACAAACCATGGTCCCTGGATATCGGGAAAAGAGAAAGGAAGGAAAATTGGGAGAGGAAGAGAGAAAACGGACCAATTGTCACTGACCAAACACGGTCTCTGGATACCTTTACAGACTGACTTTAGGGGCTTCCCAAGGCATAACCTTTAGGTCTTCCACCTAATTTAAGGCTATGCACATGCTGTAGATGTAAATAGACTAAATATCAGGCATCTTAATATTTTAGTAATTGTTTAAAACCGTGACATATATTTTCTTTATCCTAGCAAATAACACGTACTTATTTGCTGTTTAGACTTGAACCATTTTTGTCATTAAAATTTCATTAATAATAAGGACTTTTGCATGGATGGGCTGGATTCGCAACAGAAGACAATACATGAGTATATCGCAATACAAGTTGAGGATCAAGAGAGTCGTTCTAGGTGTTAATGATGAGGGTAGAAATTATTGAACCAATGACAAGAGTATAAATGGGCTTTAGTCATGATGAACCTTGGTTGTTCGAGTCCTGACCTGTAATGCTCCACGCTGCCTGTATTTATAATACTAGATTTTTTGGTCAATACTCAGAGGTCAGGTTTTACCAAGCACCAGGACCTTTGGTCATGATTAAACTAGGTGTACTTACTCTACCTAAGGGGTCAAATCTTTCCTTTTGTTCCGCTTCAGTGTGGCAACGACACATTAAATGGCTAATGTGGGTACTTAACAAGACATGTGGTTTAGCATTAACGGTTTAGACGCAACGTTAATAGTGATCGTAAGGGTTTATGGCACAACACGTGTTCTCAATCCTTTGGTTGGTCTAATATTCGAGGAATTTATGCATGTTCCGACTTCTTATCCAAAGCCTTTAAGTATTTCATCGAGTAAAACAGTTGTGCGGGGTGTCCAACATGTACTCCCTTTACATTGCCAATCTTGTTTTATGGACATGTCTTTCGAGGCCTTATGGTTAAGCTACCTGAAGTAGTTGTGATTGCCTAGAGAGAGATAGAGAAATTAAGGGTATGTTTGGATTGAGAGATTTGGAGGGATAGTGAGAGAAAAAAAAAAGAAAGGATAGTGTAAATTATGTTTGGGTAGGTTAAAATAAGAGAAAAGCAAGGATAGGGAAGGATAACTATCCCTTCTTATCCCTCCTTTTCTATCTCTCAAAAAATGAGAAAATAGGGAGAGAAATGATAGTGTATAAGTAGCATTTTAATAATTCCGAAACTACCCTCAATAATTAAAAGGAATAAATTATTATTCCACTCATATCCCATCTATTTTAAAGGATATGATAGTAATTTTATTGTTATCATTTCTCTTCTTTTCTACACTCTATCATATCCAAACAAGAATACTATACTTTCTTTTCTATCTATCCAAACATAAATAGAAATTTTTGCTATCATTTCTTTTCTTTTCTCTCATAATTAATACTATCATTTCTTTTCTTTTCTCTCCTACTTATCCAAATGCACCCTAAATCTTACCGGACTCGAAAATTGCTTCTTGGGAGTTGATTGCCCTGAGAGGGTCTTAAGTTTTTTTTTTGGGATTTCGGAGGGGTGATGCTCGATGTTTGATTGACCTAAGAGGATTCTCAGGGTTTTGGTGATTTGAGGACTAGTCCTCTAAGTTTGGCTCACCCTAGAGAATTCTTTAGATTCTCAAGGTTTTTGGAACTCAAGAACTGCTCCTTGAGGTTTGAACGACCTAACACGTTCTCCGAGCTCTCAGACTTAAGGATTCTTTCTCGAGGTTTGATTGACCTGAGTGGGTCTCAAGGTTTTTATGGCTTGAGGATAGCTTCTCGAGCTTTGGTCAACCGAGATGGTCTCGTTGTTTTTGGAACTTGAGAATTGCTTCTCGAGGTTTGGTTGAATTGAGAGGGTCTCGGGATTTTCGAGACTCGAGAATTGCTCCTTGACGATTGATTGGCATGAGATAGTCTCAAGGTTTGTATGTAGGCAACGCAAGCCTAACGTCCTCAATAGTTTATATTTTATCATTAAGCTTTTTATGGTCCAAAAAAAACCAAAGGGGAAAAAAATATGCAGTTTTTTTCTTCTTTTTTTTTTTTTTTTTTTTTCAGAGACTTTGCTTATGGTTCATATTAAAAATATTAATTTTCTTAATTGGCAGTTTTGTAAATAATGAAATTTCATTTGTTTAATTGTGAAAATGTTGCTAAACAATAAAACTCTTCATCTTCTTGTGTTGATTCGAGAATGACTACATTAATGGTTTTTTTTTCAAAGTTGTGACTTGATCAATGTTCTATTCAACTTCAATAGGAAAGGTGGAACATTCAAAATTGAAAAGAAATGAAGGGTAGAATGATGGAAGATGGATTCTCACTATAATTTTTCTCTCGTGTTATTTTATTGGTTGGATGAAAAATAAATAACTAAATGAGCATTTGCATAATCTTACAATTAATTACTTAAAACTTTAGGTGTGTTGAAGATGGATTTTGCGCAACCCGGATCTGATCTGACTTCATGAATAAAGAGAAGAAAAAGTGATCCTACAAACACCGGTGTGTTACCGGTGGAGTAGGCTTCGACGAACAAGTCAGTGTGAATGATAATCTCTATGGAGAAATCAAGATATTGAGTTAGGGTTTTTTGCCTACCTCCAAACGTCGATTAGCCCTCCCTATTTATAGGACTTGGGTCAGGATGTTACGTAGCGTCCACGTTGTCCTTAATCCTTATCATAATCTGTTGGCCTAATCCTTATCGTATTCTGCAATTCTTATCGTAATCTGTAACCCTTATTTTAGTTGTAGTCCTTATCTTAGTCTGTAGAGCCTATCTCAATCTTATGAGATAGCGCGTTACTTTAACGATCTTCCCCTATCCATGGGTAATTAAATTATAATCATCAAGGTGGAAGTTTAAAAAGTTAAAAACAGTTGAAAAGTTGGTCGTTTGGTTTGTAACTCTAAAAACAGTTATCGAAATAGATAACAGTTTTCAGATAATAATAAAAAGACTGTTATCCGTAAATAAACCTTTTTATAACTGAATTTTCAGAAAATAATTTTGAGAAAACTGAACCAAACACAATTTTTTTATACATTTTTATGTTTTCAATTTTTTGAGAACAGAAAACTATTTATATGATTACAAACTAAGCATGCCGAGTCTTTGTTCACTTTCCAATGGCCCAATAGAAGACCTTTTCTTCTTTCTTATTCTCTCATTTCTAACAAATCTTGAAAATCTCCTCTCTTTTTCTTTATTTTATTTTATTTTATTTTATTTTTTCTCTTTCCCTCCTTTTGTTAGTCCTTGGACCAAACATTACGGTTTTACCAACCGGAGAAAAATCCCCCCTGCCCCCCATCCTTTTTCTCCTCCCATTGTTTTTAGTCCTCGAACCACCCATTACGTTTCTTATCAAATGGAGAAAATCTCCTCTCTTTTTTCCCTCCCGTTTTTCAGTCCATGGCCCAAACATTACGTTCTTATCAAAGAGAGAAAATCTCTCTTTTTTTTCCCTTCTTTTTTGTTAGTGTCTGCGCCAAACATTACTCAACACGATTAATTAGCATAAAAACCTTAGTTCAATAACAATATAAGTAATATTTTCACAATTGTCCTTAGTCACCAAAGTTTCTATTATAATGACACAAATTATGACATAAGGTAATTTTTTCTTAACGAATGTAATATTCATACTCCGCTTTAATAGATTATTACACTCTGTTTAAAAATTTTAATAAAAAATAACACAATTATATTTATTTAAAGTGGAGTTTGCCTTTTAAAACCATTAAAATTTGAGTTTACTTCTAAAAAATTGAATAGTGCAAATAAATATTTTTTACACGGTAGTGTTAAATCTTTTAGAATTATCAATCTTTATATTTATATTTATATAAAAAGAAAAATTAGAACGGATAGTGTCATATGATATAAATTCGAATTCTTTACAGGTATTGTGTTGGAAACTACGTATGAGTAGGATTAGGAGCTCTAAATAACAAATTGATCCATTTTAAAAGTTAATTTTTCACATTTGACTGAATTAAACAAAATAATTACAAATGCATCAAAAATTATTGCTAAGGTCCAAAATGTCTTCACAATCTTATTACAAAATACAAATCCTTCTTTAAATTATCTAATTTCAAATATTAAAATAAATAATTAAGAATTAGTTTAACTAGTAAATAAAAATTCTCCATTTCTTTTCTTCGTCCTCCATCGGCATTGGATTGCCCTTAAGAACCTTAAATTCATAAGTTATAACATATTTACAGAGTCATAGTTATGAAACTTCTAAACAAAAATGATCCGTATTTATATTTACATGGGTGTGTGAAGAGAGAGAGAGAGAGAGGGGACCTAGACCTGCAAGTGGTTTATTGACGACTAGGATATTATATATTTTAATTATTTATTTTATTATATTTAACAAGAATATTTTAATATTTTGAAATAAAAGTATGAGAATATTTTAGACATTTATAATAAATATTGATGTATTTGTAATTATTTTATTTAATTTAATTAAAATTAAAAATAAACTTTTAAACAAAGAATTTGTTATTTAGGATTCCTAACTTTACTCAGGTATAATTTCAGTTCCACTTGTATCCCCCTCTCCCACTAACTCCTAACTATATATATATATATGTGACCCAATTCCCTGAAAAATAAATAAATAAAATTCCTAACACATTAACCCCGACACGCACAGTGGGAGAGTGGGGCAAAAAACATCTAGAGAAAGTCGTTTTGGCGATTGAAAGACCCGTATATCATCGAGGAGCAGGACGGTCGATTTCGAGGGGAAGACTACCTCCTCCACTCGAGACTCCGCAAACCCAAACCCTTGTCAAATTCATACTCTATTTAGCGTCGACTTGTTCGATCTCAGGTAAATTTACAATCTCACTCTCTTTCCGGCTTCAATGTTCTGTAGATCCTGATCATGGACGTTTTCTTCAGATTTAATTTTCCGTTGTTTGGATGAGGATTGGTTTTTCATTTACTTTTCAGATTTTTTACTCCTATTTGATTGACTTTATTTTTCATTCTCGCTGTTGTTTATTAAAAAAATTGGCGAAAATTTCTGGTTCTTGGACATGAAAATCATAGGTAAATTAGGAAGATGGATAATTAATAAAGAAATCCAGATGTAGTTCGAGATTTTTCTGGGGGTTGCGTTGATATCAGAAACTTCCCTGTTGGTGCTGTTTGGCTGTTCATTGGAGAACTACCTTTCCCGAGAATGGCATTTGTTAATCCACTGTTATAGGGTTTTTTTGATGCTCGTCTATTATGGGATTTCTTTCACGGCCTTCTCGAATGCCAATGAGAGATTTTTCTATAAAGTTACCCTCTTACATAATTAGCTACGTGTATATGGGTGTATGTATGTATGTATGCACACGATTATATGTATGTATGTATGTAACCGTAAACATGACATGGATCCTTATATTTAGTATTAAACCCCATTTTGCTCAGACATAAGTGCCCTAAATTAGGGTTCTCAAATTTCTCTTGGAGGGGCTTTTGTGTTTGGTCTGGTATGATTTTGATTCAACTGCCTGCACTATCTTTCAGGTGTTGCAGTATTCCTCTTTGGAGTTGAATCAATGGATCTTTATTGGGCTTAACTCATAATTTGTGGTATTTGATGCAAATAGTGGGATTGTTTCTTTCACAAAAATCGTTTTGAAGAGTATGTTGGGCTGTTGAAGGATACTTCTATCTTTGCTTCTCTTTTTTTTGTTCATCAAAACACACCATTACTCCATTACATGCTTATTTGACGCTGTTTTTGCTTGATTGTTTATGTTAAATTCCTACTATCTTAACTGTGATGATCTGCAGCATAAATTTCTGTGCCCATATCTTACCAGCTAATTCAATTAATATGCGATTTTATGAATAAAATATTTGTTGTTACTTTATTAGTTCTCTATAAATTTCCCAGTGTCTTATTTGGAATTAGGCAGCAAGTTCTTTTATCCTTTTTTTTTCTGTTTTTCTTTTGAACTAGAGGGGTCATTTTTAGTGTTCATTAGATTAGTGACATAATTTTCTGCAACAGAATTTTTTTAATATCTCTCATTTACCTTGTTTAAATGTATTTCATATTTTTCAGCCAGAGAATTGTAGTGTTGGCAATCAACTAAATAGAGTAACTGTCGAAGACTTCGTTGTCTGTTTGGTAACCCATTGGAGTTGTGATATGGCTGAGAAAGCTTGTGTAAAGCGCCTTCAGAAGGAATATAGGGCACTTTGTAAAGTATGCTTTCTTAATCCTTTATAACTTTTTAAGCAATTTCAATGTGTCAATGAACGTATCACTGAAGCATGAGCATCCTCACGATGGACTTATTTTTCCTTTCTGATGCTCCTTTCAGTTTAAAGTTATAATAAAGTTACTTATCAAAAATAAATAAATAAATAAATAAAGTCATTCTCATACAAACTTTAATTTCCATTATATAGTGCTATCTGGATGTTACTTTCTGTTGGTTCCACCTCCCCAAATAATTTCATGATTTTCCCCCCACACTCATGATGTGGAGTGCAGGCCATTGTTTGTTATTACTTGGGCTGAGAGTTAAATGTTTCGGTTTCCTTTGTGACAACTTTTTAGCTGCAGAAAGTTCTTTGACTGTCAGCTTGTGCTTTTTTACTTTAGCAAATGGCAATCTCTATGCTTTTGTATGCATATTATTCTGGCAGCATTGTGCTTGCTCCTTTCTAATGGTGCTGAGAATTAAAAATTTGATGTATGGCACATTTTGTGTTACATCGAGTCTCATATTTCCTCCATGTAGCCATGTAAACACACAGTGGTCATTAGACACATGCCTCACACATGGACCCAAATCAAACACTTGGTTCTCTGCATGTAATGATAGAAGAAGGAAAAGCTTTACAGTTAATGATACTAGAAATTCTCTTCCCCCACTCTCAACACATCCAATCGAATAAGATTATAGTTGGGTTTTTTTAAAGAATAATAACATCATAAAACACCCTATTATATAATATATAAGGTATTTAAATTTGTAGGACATGTTTACAAACCTGTATCCAACTTTTGGACACATTTCAATTGAATTCCCCATATCCTAAAATTTGGGATTCAGTGAGGTCTGATTCTTACACGTACCTGCACTTTTAAGTCCATGGAAAATGGGGCATAGCGCTATTGTTTTATTTGATAATACTCCATAGAAAGTTTCTGTTGTCATTCACCACAGTGTCAGAATACTTGGATAGGGATTTGTTACATTTTCATTCTTACTTGTGCAGAAATTAGTTGACTGTAATTATGACATTTCATTCCATGTATCAAGGAAGGAACATCAAACATGCAATTGACTTTCACTTGATAATAGGCTTCGAAGAATGTTATTGGAAGTTCCTTTCTTCTATGGGCCATGTATCATACTTAATAAATAAATTTCCCTCAAGTTTGGTTTTATTGTAGGTGATATGAGGAGAGACTCGGATGTTTGGGGTGTGACTGGTGGCTTTAGTTTGTTCTGGACTTGGACAATGTAGCACTCAGTTCATTTTTTCCTCATTAACTGAGGACTATTTTTTTGCTACAGTTCTTAATTGGTAATCGGGCCATGATGGCATTTCAGAGATCTGTCAGCAAGACACCTATGTTTTGGCACCAGTTTGGCCAATCTAAAAAATGTTCTTTGCCATAGAACCAATAATAGATACTCCATTTTTTCCTAACCCCGTGAAACGACATCCCTAGGTCAGTTTCTGGATCCTAATTAGAATTATTTGAGGTTCAATAGGAAGAGGGGACATTCCCTCCCTATTTGATTGTGGTTCAGTTTTTCAAAATTAGATTTAGATTGACCATTTGAATGAGTCATCCCTGTGTCCCAATGTTGAATTTACAAATTTAACTTTTGACTGACACATACGACTTTCCTTACAACCTCTAGAATTTATGTTCTATTTCTCTAGTTACCAGAAGTATGTTTGTAGTCTAGTGTGGTTTTAGTCCATTGTTGATTCAGAGAAAATAAAAAGAGCCCCTTTAAAGGGGATTCCATGCCTCATTTTGTCCTTCCAAGTAATAAAAACGTATGGCTAGTCCAATATGACTGAATCTACATTTTGGAAATGGTGTAAAGCAGGCATACACTTCAACATGTTCCTATACATTGCTCTTTTCACTTTAAATTATTTCAAAGGTAAAATCTAATTTAATATGGTTTTGGTACTTACCTAATTCAAGGTGACATCAAATTTTGATTACATTTAATTGTGTCTCCCTTTTAAAACCATTTTCAAGTTTAAGTGTTCATTTAAAACCATAAGGGTCTTATTTCATACACTAAAACAATTAGTCTATGAAAGCACTCTTTAAGGGCATTAGGCATAAATTACACATATTTTTATCTCACTTTTGATACTTATATTTGTTTAATTGGCCTTAATTTTTCAAACACAAACTAATTTTTTTTTAATTATTATTATTTTTGTGTTAACTCATAAATAATCGCACAACATAATCATAACATTGTTTGCTGCAGACTGGCACAGAATTACAACAAAAAAGGGCCTTGAAAGCCTTTTCTGATCAAATATTCCAAAAATCCCTTCCAAAGTCGTGCCTTCCCAAAATCTCTTTTAGTTTACCTAACATAACTCTTCATATTAATTTTAAAAAGTTTGTGTATAAAATTTTCTCATTGGTTTTAGTATATAGACTTATCTTTGTAAGTTGAAGTGAGCAAAAGCTGGATGCAACACTGGTTAGTTATTCCATGCATTAGTGTTTTACTCTTCTTGGTTGTTCCATATATGAGCACAATCTCAAAGTAATGTTCTTACTAGGATAAGTCTATAGTCAGATACATAAAGCGATGTCCCTACTTCACGGTTTTTTGGGAGTTGACTTTTGGTCACCCCATTACCTTATCTGTATTGAAAAGCGAGTTCTTATTTTCACATATCATTACTAAAAGTGTTATATTTGATTCTTTTGTAGTTTTGTCAGGTTTCCATTGATGAATAATAAGTTTCAATCTCTCTTCTTGTATTAATAAACTTTATCTTCCTGGCAGTTTTATTTTCATGAGACTCTATGATTATAAGTTGTGGATATCACTTTTTGTCAAGATTTTGAGATATATATGTGCATCTTTAGGTGATTAATAGCTCACTTGTCAGATGGCACTGTTAATAAAAATAAATTACAACACAACTGTTCTGAGGGTGATCTCTATGAATTTGCAGGAACCTGTTTCGCATGTTGTAGCCCGTCCTTCCCCAAATGATATCCTTGAGTGGCGTAAGTTGCTTCCACTTATTTTCTTCTCTAGTTGATTTTTCATCACAGAATAATAGAGAGCGGGCCTCTCTCTCGCTGATGCTGTATATCCCTTTGATGATTGTGTTTGATTCTCAGGGTAACTGGTAAATTGGTTTTTAGGGGTAACCTGGTCCTGGGGCCATGTTGAGAGGATGCAGGGGTTCAAATCTCATTTTCTATCATAAAATCTATGTTAAATGGACTCTTTTAAATATGTGAAGTAACCGTATTGGACACAGTTCACTTTCTTATAAGTATATGATGTGTCTGACTAGTCTACTTAGACAAGCACCTAGCAAGCATACACAAGAATTCAAGTACATAAAACTATTCATATTCCTTTTATTACATTATAATTTTGAAACAAGTACAATAATGTACAAATGTTGGATACTCCATGTTACATAAAAGCATTGTTTTATTTTTGGAAAAAAAATGTTCACATATATATATAGTCACGTGGCTCATGCCTCCATATCCTTGGGTTTTCTATTTGATAAATCCTATGCTTGGACATATCCACACCTGACATGTGTTCCCAAACCCATGTAATATAGCCTGAGCCTACTACAATTAAGGTGAACCTTTTGTTTGTGCTAGGGTACCTTCCTTAATTTCTTGTAAATTGCTGAAACTTTCATCACTAAATGCTTCATAATTGTTTTCTTTTTCTAGCTGTACTGCATTGGAGAATTTTTTTACCAGTAGCTTATTTATTTTTTAATTTTTTATGTAAAGTGCTCTTCAAAATATTTTAGTACTTCTGCTGACTGCTTTATCAGCTCTTCAACCTATGCTATGTCAGTGGGAATGCCAATTGGGCAAATTGCCTAGACACTTCAGTAATCAGTAGAGTTAGCAAAAATAGTCAAGCTTTATTTTTTTTTTTTTCTGCAATCATTGTCATCACATACTGGGATATAGCTCTTCTGAGATGATGTTACAAAATTTTCCTGATTTTATGGGTTTTAATAATTTTGGGTTGTCAAATATCAGTTAAATTATAAAAAATAAAAAATAAAAAAATATTATTATTTTACTTTAGTACAGATCTGAAATTAATTAATTTCTCCTTTTTTTTTAAATTGAACTTCCACATTTTTTTTTAAAGGATTGGAGATAACTCAAGAAAGCACACAGCTATAGTCAGACGATATAGGGGTCTAAATGCAATATTATAGTTGGACTGTTGGACTATATAGGGGTCTAAATGCAATATTATAGATTGAAATCCATTAAAATATGAAGTTTTGATTATTTATTTCAAGTATCTTTCATGGAAAAATTTTGTGATGAGTAATTTTTCTCATTAGACTTGTAAAAGAGGATGAGTAATTTTTATGTTTGATATTGGGTGATATACATGTTAATTTGTAAAGTAGGATTTTAGTAGTTCAGGTTCAATGCTTATATTGCAAATCTCTATATTAAAATTTGATTATGTATCAGATGATCCAAGTTTGAATGGTATGTTTAGAGATCCCAAGTGTCTGTTTCTTACAATTATCTGAATTCTGAAGGTCTGGATTCGATTCATATCCAATAAATACACACACATGTATAATTGAACATATAAACTAAAGTGGAAATTAGTCAGCTCAGAAAATTTACAGTTTGTTTAGTTTGAGCCATTTAATTTGGATTTCTTATATCGGATTTGGATTTGAACTAGCGGATCTGATTTGGCATGATAATTTTTCTTTCTTTTTTTCTAATAATAGGAAAATCAGATTTTAATCAGGTTGAATGCTGGTCGAAATTGGATCTTGATAGGAGGGTCTTGATTTTCTGTTTTCCATCAATTGAGGCTGCCATGCCTGTAGCAATGCCTTTTAATACATATGCTGCAACTCATTATTCTGTTATACCTTCTCGGCCAAGTTACTGTTTGTTCATGAACTTTATTTTTGTTTTCCCATTTATATGTTTCAGATTATGTATTGGAGGGAAGTGATGGAACACCTTTTGCAGGTTCGTTAATTTTGTTTTTGGCTTGTGGTATGGAACATGTAATATATTTAGTACTTTGCTGGATTTTATATATGATTTTTTGTTCTGTGGTTCTCCCCTTCATGGTTGTATTTGTTGTGAAATATTTCTGCTCATTGTGATAAGGTGGATATTATTACGGGAAAATCAAGTTTCCCCCAGAGTATCCATTTAAACCTCCAGGAATCAGGTATGTGGGCAGTTGTTGCTTAACTCTCTCCACAAAATTTTAGTGCTTTCAGCATCTGTCTCTCTCACTCTCTCTCCAGGAACACTTTCTCATGGTTGTTTTATTTGAAGTGATCTATTTTTTTCTTTTTCTCTGTAGCATGACCACTCCTAATGGACGGTTTATGACCCAAAAAAAGATTTGCCTGTCTATGAGTGATTGTAAGTCCCATGAAGTTTATCAATGTTTATCATTTTGAGAACCGTATATTATCTGGTAACTGATTTTATTTTCACCTTTTTTGTATTATTTTCCAGTTCATCCAGAGAGTTGGAATCCAATGTGGTCTGTGTCAAGGTAAAAATTGCTAGCAACGAGGAAAATGGTTACCTTTGTTTGAAACAATTTTCTAGTTTCTGGTGCTCACTTGTTTGTATGTTTAATTGCAGCATACTTACTGGGCTTCTCTCGTTCATGGTGAGTTTAGGATGGTTCTCTACCCTTTTAATTAGCAGTTTGGTGTAGTTGTATTTAGAATAAACGTTTTATTCTTGTCCATTCCTTCTTATTTCCTTGAAGTACTTTCTATATATATTGAGATATACAGATATTAGATATTTTAACTTTTTTTTTTATTTAAATACACTTCTGTGTATACAAAGTAGATATTGCAGGAACAATAAAAAGAGTATATTTGGATAATGAATTTGGTAAAATGTACATATGTTATAATATAATTCAACTAAAAGAAGCCTTGTTCCAACTATTTGGGTTTTCTGCAATTAATTCAAAAGGGTAATTTAGGATATTCAAGAGTCCCAATGCTTCGACTGTTCATTCCTTCATGATAATTTTACGGAAAGGGGTGTCTTGCAAAATTTTTGGTATTCAAGGGCAATTACCTACTGAAAATTTAGTACAAGGGTGCTGTGCAAAATTTTATAGTTCAAGGGGTTTTAGACAATTTGAAATCACTCTCTATCAGGTTTTTATTTGCTATTGTGACATATATTATCAATGCATTCGCGACATTTTAGTGATCTATTAATATATGAAAGTGGTATTTTTAATGATTAAACATCTACCTGCTCCCATCACTGTCAGAAGGTTTTCTCTTAACACATCAATATTTATGATTGATATTTTATGAAGCCAGGTTATTGTTCGATGTTTGTCCTGCATAAACACTTTTCTAGATGAACCGTGTCCAGCATGTAAGCTAGGATGTACTCAAACCCACATAGTTACATGCCAGACATCTCTCATATTTGTCTGTACTCTAGGAGTGTACTCAAAACTCTTGACATGATAGGGTGCTCAATTAATTGGTCAAATGAATACAATTATCATGTTTTGCATAAGTATAAATGCAATTGATTCACTTTTTTTGGTGATTGTATTTCTCCTGCACCCTTCCATATTCCTCCCTTATTTTCGTCATAGAGAATTTGTTCTTTAATATTGATGGAAAACCTATTGCGAGTTTGTTCTGAGCATCCCGTCATCTATTTTTGACTTTTATTTCAACCACTGGCTTTATTAAATGTGTGTAAACCTTGTACCAACCAATTGACATTTCAGGTTGGGTTGCCCGTGACACCAGATAGCACGAAAATCTGATGGATGTAACGTGCAATAATGAAAAAATAAAATTGAAATAATAATAATAAAAAAAATAGGAACTGTTGTTACAACTTACCACTGACTAGGCTACTATATATTTGGCCGATCTATTGCCATAATCCTATTAAATTCAGAATGTGTTTTAAGCAGGAAATTGGATTTTATTGGACTGTCCTCAGCAATAATTGAGATCCCCATTTTGAGACAATCTTGTAGGTATGACTTTGAAGAATGTACCACCAAGGGCTTAGCTCAAGTGGTATCTCCTTTACTTTTCCGAGTGGAAAGCCAAGAGTTCAAGTCCTCTTCAGAGAAACTGTGGGGTGTGCTTGTCTTCTAACGGGAAAAAAAAAAAAAGAAAAAGAAAAAGAAAGATGAATGTATGAGTTCCTTTGCCTGGGCTTGCAATTTTATTTCTTCTTTTCTCGTGCAGATGGACAGCAGTCCTACCACTGGCAGTGTTACAACTACTGTTGCTGAGAAGCAACGGTTAGCTAAGACTTCTCTCGCTTTCAATTGTAAGAAGTAAGTCTATTACAATTCCCATGCTGTATTATGTGATCATTTTTTTACCTGTTTTTAAATTATCTGATACACCAACGAAAATGTCCATTTACCACATGTATATATTTTGTTTTTGGTAGCCTACTTCTTGCAGGTAATTGCCCCAAGACTTTAAAAATCTTGGTTATTATTACCTGTTATGATTAGACCGTTGGGAGATCATGTCTTTGTTTTTATTTGTTCATGGGCCGTCTGGATTTTTGGTTTAGATGGAAGTGGCTTCAACACTTGGTACTCTGCAAATTACTCAGATGGTTTGATTGGCCACTTCTATTACCTGTTTTATCTGGTTTATGCCTAAGTTCTATATAAGCGGCAGCCTTCATCACAAGTTGGAGTGTCTTTTCTGATTGGTGGAAGGCACATTTAAACCCAGCTGGTCACCTATATGTTATATCATAGTTGTTTCTGACTCTGTTTCTGATTTTTTTTTTTCCTTCTTATAACAGCTCAACATTTAGGAAAATGTTCCCAGAGTATGTGGAGAAGTACGAGCAGCGTTCTGTGCAGTCCGTGCCTGAACAACTGTCACCAGTGCCAAGTCGACAAGAAATTTCCAAACCCCTGTTGGAGAAAGTTGGTAATTCTATGCAAGAGGACCCGAACAGAGTAGAGGCTCCTAAGGATATGAAGAACGGCAAGAGGCAATCTTTTCCACCATGGATGCTGCTGTTGCTGGTTTCCATCTTTGGTCTTGTAATGGCCTTGCCTCTGCTTCAACTTTGATTTCTGGACCACATGTAGGTAAAGTATTACTAGGGTTACCGGACATACAGGCCTTTGCAACCTCAATCGGCTTCTCTTCAAATGCTCAATATCTTAGGTTTGTCATGTATCTAACACTTGTATAGGTGAGTGGTGCTAATGTGGTTCTCCTTTAATTATACTGTTGACATTTTGTTTTGTCAACCTTTAAAAACATTGCATGCTTGTGATTTGTGTCTTTTTTGTTTTTTGATTCAGAGGTTCTTGTTTCCCTTAGTGTGTTTACCACTTTTTGAATAACAGGGTTTGGTGCATGCATTTTTACCATAAGCAATCAAGATAGCTGGGTTTTTGAAAATAGTTTTCTATTTTCGATATTCTGAAAGAAAAAAAACAATTTTTAGATAACTCGAATTTTTGTTCACACTGAGTTTTTAAAGAATGCAATCAAATTTTCATCTATGAACCTAACATCTAGAAGTACATCTTCCATGGAAGAAAATGGGTTCTCTCCTCAAAGGAGAATCCTACTGGAGCACTAAATTTTACATACGTACATACAATCTATTTGTATCAAACAGTTGCAGAATTTGATAAATTGGAGGCTTGTTTTCCCCAGCAAGATTGATCATCTTCAACTGGATTTCGTCTCCTTCAACCAATGTACATAGATATTGAGACTTCACAATCTTTATACACACACAAACATACAGTATTCTACTTATTGGCTCTGCTTGCTTGTTCTTCAACATCCAAATGACTGGGACTACCAGCAACCATCCTTCTATCCATGCTCAAAAGCCTTCTCAACCGTGTCATCACCGGTGACCTAACTTCTTCTTCCTCAACCATTTCTCTTGGTATATCTATTGCCAACATTCCCTCTGTTCTATTATCACTTGTTGATGACGACGAAGAACATTGAGGTTGATAACAAGTATGTCCTTGACTATTTTCTTCCGAATTCGAATCCATTGTGCTAACCTCAGTCTCGTTCCCCCAATACAACACATTGGTCGGAAAACTAAATGACTCTGTTGTCTCCGGCGAATGTTCTTCACTGGTTGGGTTTGAGGACGAAATAGGGTTTCGACAGATTGGGCAAGTGGAGTGAGATCGGAACCACATGTCGATGCAATCCACATGAAACCCATGATTGCACTTGGGAAGCAATCGAGCTGTTTCTCCATGGGAGATCTCAGAGAGACAAACAGAGCATTCCAGTCCTTCTTTGAATTCTTCCGCATGGAAAACTATTACGGGTATGGAGTTAAGGACTGACGGGTCAAGACCGCGGCGGAGGATGGTGGCGGGGGTTGTTTCTTCATAGCCGGCGCCGAAGTCGGAGCGGCGGCGACGACGCCGAGTGGTGTCGTCATGGCCTCGGCGGTACCAGAACCATCTGGTGTAGAGGTGTAAAAATAGGACGAAGGCCACCAATATAAAGAGGACTAACATGACAATCATTATGATCTTTCCGGTAAGCTTAAGCGCCGGCGAGTCTTCTAATTTCGGGCTAGAATCCGACGAATTATCCATTTTGGAGGAAAAAATAAACTTAGGGTTTGGTAATCGGAGAAAATGGTCGAGATTGATAGCAAAAACCAGAAAGAAATTTCCTTTGTCAGAAGGGAAAAGAGAAGAAGAAGGAGTTGGGTATTGGAGTTTGGAGAATTCAAAGACAAAGTGAAGATGTTTAGCGTTTTAAAGACGTATAGAAATTTGAATGAGTCTGGAAGATGACGAGATTGGGGCTAGAGAGAGACAGAGAGAAGGGTCAGAGCATGACTAATCCAAACGGGCGGCTTTTTGAGTCGAAGAAGGGACTTGCATAGACTTCATAGTCTACGTTCCGTTTCTTCTAAAGTGGCTTCGACTTTTGACCATTGTCATGGCCGTGGACTTGGTATTATTTACAGTCACATATGAGTAGAAAACAAAATTGAATTTACATTCTACTGAAAAAATAATTTTAAAAAGTTATCTATTTATTGAGGCTATATTTATTTTTGTTAGGTAAAATTGAGGAATTAACTTTAAAATATCTTTGTACATGTTATCAAATTTGGAACAATTTTAAAAAAAAAGTATTGCAAAAATTTATTTGGAATAAATTTAACTGTCATTGAATAGCTAATAAGGGAATGGTGTAATGGTTAAATATTTGACAATTTTATTTGATTATGACCATATATACTCAACAATTCATTCATAACTTCATAAGAGTTTATGGTTATATTTGCAGAAGAAACTAAAAAATATATTAGCATAATTTGCAAGATAGAAAATAATGAACATGAAGCAAAAATAGAGAAGAGTTATCTAAAATCCCTAAATTACATAAATAAAAGAAGGAAAAAATAATTGTAAGGCGTAATGAAATCCATGACAGAGGTATAAATATATTTATAGTAATAATATGTATTTAAGGTCGCTAACAAATAATATCATTATGGTATGCATATAGAGTATATAACTTCTTGTACGTTTTAAAAATTAATCTCTAATATTCAATTTTAAAACAAACAATTAAAGCAGTGAATAATATATAGAGTAAAGTGTCTCTCTATAATTAATTTATAATTAAATAAAAAGTAGGTAAGAAAACTAAGGATTAATTACACTCACTTCCCTTGAAGTTTGTTATATTAACAGCTTAAACAAAATTAGCCCACATAATAAAATGACTAAAATGCTCTTTGACTTGTCAAAGGAACCATTAAAATATTAAAATTACCAATTTAACCACCTGACTAATTTTAATTAACCAAACTAACCTTTTATCACTACACCATTATACATATATACAATATACTAGTATATCATAATACACATACAGAGAGGAGGATTGGAAGAAGAAGGGGGTGGTTGCCACCTCCATTGGCGGCAAACAACCACAGCCAAGGGTAAACTTCAATTTTTATTTTATTTAAAGTTTTAAGCAACTGTGTATAGATGTGTCAAATGTGCATATGCATATTTCAGTCAACTCTTCCCCTTTCTCTTTTCCTTTTTTAATTATTTCCTTCCAAATCGTTCAAATTTATTTCCTTTTCCTTTCATTCTAATTCGTTAAATCAAATCTCTCTAATTCAAGGGTTTCTAGGTTTCCAACATATGCACGTCCCTGTGAATTCGATTCTTTCGAACTGTGGTAAATTGGATTCTAGGGTTTTATGTAAACCCCATCCTTTCAAACTGGTTTTGTATATTTTATTCCAAGCTTAATTCACAATTGACGATTCACTTCTCAGTAATTTCAGAGCTTTTTTTCTGTTGAATTTTCTGATAGCCGTCACATTTATAAGCTTTTTGAGTTAATCTGGGTTTAGATGCTCTGAGTTCGAGTACGAATGAAACGGGTTGATTGCAATGTTTTCTTCATCTGAAGATTATCTTTTACTTTATTTTATGTAATTTAATTGGATGAGAGATTGAATTTCGGGTTTATTGATATGGATGAGAGATTCAAGTATTTTGTTTCCTTGGAAAGTGGAGAATTCATGGATTCTTGCATCATTTATGTTCTCTCTCTACCTTCTCGGTGTTTTCACCTTAATGGAAAACCCACCATCACCACCGCAACCTCCACCATCACCACCAACACCCACCATTGGCACCCATTCTGAAGTGGTGGTGGTGTTGGGGTAATTCTATCATTTATTTATTTTTTGATCTTTTAGATTAAAAATTAATTTTTTATTGAACGGCAATTACGTCTTTTTTTCAACTTTTAAGGGCATTGTTTGGATAAAAAAAAAAAAAGGTTAGAATGTAATTAACCCAAAAACTAATTAACCATTAATAACTAAAGTGTCGATCCTTTTTTCTTCTTTTTTATCGTTTATTTTTTAGGCCAGTCCAGGGGCCTGGTCGTTTCATGTAAGTAGCGGTCTTGTCGCTCATTCCTCGTCGGCAGCAACCCAAGGTCGTTGCCCTTCTTCTGCTGATCAACCAGGTTGTTGCAAAGCAACTTGGTGAGCAGCATGGACGGTGAGCATCGGAACAACAAGGTTTATGAACTTGGAGCATGCTAAACTGAGGTCTTTTCAAGGTGAGCGTGTGTATATATATAAGGCCATTATCGAAAAACATAAAAATATTTTTAAAATTTTATATTAAGAATATAACATGATTAAATTTTTAATGAAACAATAAATTCAGGCCATTCTTTTCTCATTTTTTTCAAATTTTACAAAATTATATACTCAACATGAACAATAGGGATAGTATTTACCCAAAATGTGAACGTTATAGGTGTTTTTCTCACTTTACCCTATCTATATTTATGTAAACCATTATTGGTGGGTACATATATAGGGAGATTGAAATTTTTGGTTGATGGGGAAACTAATAGTATTACAATCAAAGGGGCAAATATATAATATTACAAAACAAAGGGGCCATTTTGTATAACTTAACAAAAATACATACACATTATATAAAAGAAGGAACAAGGGTGCCCCTCCCTGGCATGCATTAGCATGCATGATTGGAGTGATTTTTTACCATAGTTTAATCTGACAATGAAGTTGCAAGCCCATGTATTAAGCGAGAACTCAAGACTGTTTCATGTTATTTAAAACAAAAAATTACATCAAATAAATTTAGTATTAGAGGTTGCATGTTATCCCACGGCCAAATGCTAAAATCAAAATTTTGAGTCAGAGAACGAGAGACCGACCCATTAGATTAACATAAATGCAATGAAGTTTATAAATGATCCAATGAACTCGTTTGATATATGCGCACAATGGGGTGTCCAAAAATGTATGTTGACCATCCAGGGTTGAGTTGGAAATAAAAATTCTTCTTGCCGAACATTAACTTAAAATTACGAATGAACCCTTTTAATATCTCAAGTTGACTAATTTAAACTGCTGAATAAAAAAAAAATAAATAAATAAAAAAGAGTCAAAATTAAGTAACCCAAAATTAGGGAGCTAATTGGCTAGGCTTTACCTACCTTGGTCACAAAATCTTATACATAACAATGGATTATATGAAAAAGTAAAATTCAGATTTACTAACCCAAATTATATTTATTCTCCTAAACCACCTACTTTATATTTATATGGAGAAAGCTGTCGCCATGATGGATGTGACTATGGTTTCGCTAAAAACCGATTTCATACCTTTTTTAAAACCCTAACAACAACATATATAAATATATATATATATATACGCACACATATATATGCATATACGCTCGTATACATACACACGCTGCTAAAGCTCAATATCATCCAACAATGGCAGAGCCCAAAACTCCACCACACCTTCACACCACGACACCATCCACAACTCCCCCATCCACAACTCCACCACACCTTCACACCACGACACCATCCAGAACTCCACCACGCCTTCACACCACGACACCATCCACAACTCCACCACACCTTCACACCACGACACCATCCAGAACTCCACCACGCAGAACTCCACCAAAAGCAAATGAATATTGTTCCTTAAGCCCCAAAAAACCTAGACCACCTACACTCCCTACGTTGCATGAAATACCGGTACGGTTGCCCGGACTACCCACCACTCCCAAAACCTACTTGGACATCCAAAAACAAGATTATCCTCGTTGCCCCGAGGTCATCCAAAGCACGGAGCCTCGTCGGCGGCACCTCTGCCTCTGCATTATCTCCTCCATTAGTCTCTCCCTAGTCTTGATTGTTTTAGGCGCCATCGGCGTTTGGTGTCTAATTCTGCAGCCAAAAGAGCCGGAGTACTCCATCGACCATGTCTCGGTCACCGGCTTTGGTGGTTTTCGGTCCATTCGAGAGTTTCAAGTAGGTGTTAGAGTAGAAAACCCTAATAAAATCAAGGGCATGTATTATTATAGTAAGGGCAGCTATGTTGATGCTTATTACACCAATGTGATTATAAGTAATGGGGTGTGGCCAAGGTTTTATCTGCCATCCGACACCGTCACGACTGTAAATTTGGTGTTGAAGGGGGACGTTTTATCGAAGGTTGTTCGAAATGGGCTGAGAGAGGAAGAGGTGTCGCTTAGGTTTGATTTGAAGACGCCGGTGAGGTTCAAGGTTGGGTGCATGAGTCTGTGGAAGACTCTGGTGAAGGGCTCTTGTAATGTGACTGTCGCTAACTTGACAGTACCAGAGGCTAATATTGTTACCACTTCTAAGGGTTGTGAAGTTAAATTGGAACTATGGCCTTTTTGAAATTTCGATTATGAGTTTCAAAATTACATAGGTAGTTTTCTTTTTCTTTTCTTTTTCTATTTATTTATTTATTTATTATGTTTATTTGTTGATTGAATTTAGTATTTGAAAATATTTAGTATAAATTTTGAAATTAAACTTCTTCCAATCCCAAATTCTCAGTCATTCCAAACATAACATTTATTGTTTTGGTAGATAACTCATCCTTATGAGTTTTGTAAGTTTTGATATATTATTGGTAAAATCTACGCTTTTTGTTACTGTATATCTCTAATAATAATAATAGTAGTAGTAGTAGCGAGCCTATGTATCATCCCCTTTGTTTCTCTTTCATCCCTCCCTTTCTCTCATCTTTCCCTACCATATTTCCTCTCCCTGCCATATTTGATAATCCTCAATATATAAAATTAAACACAAATCATTGTCAATACTATCAACTTGAAATAGACATGACCTAATAGAGGCGCGCTATTGTTTTACACTATTTAAAAGTCATGGCTTTTCAACTTTTGTTTTCTTGTGTGGTTAGTATATATTTTTTCAACCTTGATAGCTTCTTCTCTGGATAGATATAGACACTCAATGTTCTATTTTATATATTTTTTTCAATTTTGCCGTAAAAAGCTACATGAAAAGTGGTTTTCCATAATTATGTATATGCATATTTTCATAAATAGGTATTTGTAAATAGTATGTGTTTGATTTAAGCATACTAAAAAAGAAAGAAAAAAAGAAGAAGATGGAAACAAAGTAATTTGATCGGAGAGTAAAAAGGAAAAACATGCAACTATAGAAAGAAGAGATATGGAAACGAGAGTGAATTTTGAGAGATCAAAAAAGAGAAAAATGAGGAGACCAACTAGGATAGTTGATGGTTGTTTTTTGTCATTTCATCTCCCTAATAATAATAATAATAGTAATAGTAATAGTAATTACATTAATTTGATGGTAATTTTAAAACAATTTTAAAGAAAGGCTTTTAGCGGGATAACAAATACTCTCAAATTTACAAGACCTGTGATTAAATTGCCTATCAGTAAAGAGAAGTATGCGAGACATAAGATTAACATGCAATCACTTGATCTTGATTTTGGTCCATGTAATTGAAATTGAAAATTCCACTTATCGATCGTGTTATGTAGGATCATCCTCTATTCACTTGGGCCTTTATTCACTTGGGCCTGGTTATTTGTGTGCTGTGAATTGTATATAACCTGTGCCACGACGGCCCACGTCCCAACTGAGGCTTGAACCTGCATATGACCTGGTCCATGGTTCAAGCACATGATCTGGTCCATGGCCATTGGTAGCTCATGTTCTTATCTCATGGTCCACACTAGAATTCCCATCTAAAACAAAGGTTCGGTTTGTTTCGAAGTAAAATATCTTTTTTCAGGTAAAATATTTTTTTATTTTTATTTTGTCGGTATTTGGCAAAGGTCTCTACGTCGAGGTTGAGTCAAAAAATATTTTACGTTTAAAAAAAAATTGATTAGGGAAAAGTATGTTAGTTGTTAGATGTTAAAGTAATCTGTATAATTAAAATATATTTTTTAATATGTTTAATTATAGAAATTTCATAAAAGAATTGTGAAATTATCTTTATAAAAAATAAAAAATGACAAAATTATCTAAGAAAAACAGTTAACTAAAATATAACCTCTACTCAAATGCAGTTTTAAAAATTTTAAATTTTAACTTCATTTAAAAGTGCTTTAAATGGTTATCAAACACATCAAAACACAATTTTTTTTAAAACAACATTTTTAGGCATTAAAAAGTAATTCCAAATGGAATTATTTTAACTTCTTTTTTTTCCCAGATATTTTTAAAAGAAAATGGAAAAAGAAGCAATGTGAAAGAAAAAAATAATAAAATAAAATAGGTATTCATTTTCGAATGAATTAATATGGTGGACACACAGAGAACCAGTTTTTTTTTCCCCCAAATAAATGAAGACAAATTATTCTAGAAACTATTTGTTAAAAAATTGAGTAAGAGTATTGTTTGTAGAAAAATTCTTTTATATCTAAAAACCTTTTTTTACTTTTTAATATTATTAAAAAAGACTCAAGTGATATATTGTTTTAAGGGATACTTGTCCCTGTCGAATTCGGATGAAGAATGAAATGGATATAAATGGATAGGTATATAACACTATTGAGTTAGTGACCCAATCCTTGATCTAATATCCAAAGTTTCACTTTTTCATCCAATTCAATAGAGGACAAGCTCTCCCTTATTAACTATATATATCCTAAAAGGGATTGTATATGAGGACTGGGATCCTCTGCTGTAAACGGGTCGTGTTGTACCCGTGTTGTAGTGAAAAAATGAATTGTAATGGCCCGGTCATTTTCGTTCTTTTCCTTTTTCTCAGATTTTTACGGATAAATTTTTTCCGTTGATTTTCTTTTTTGAATACGGTTACTCGTCACTTAGTGTCATCTCATGCACTCGGAAATGGTTTTTGAGACTCTTTCCTTTGGATTGACAACTTCCTTAAAGAATCGCGTCATTTCCACATTTTTCGTTTTTTGACACTATGCATTTTTCGTCCTTTTCCCCGTTTGTCACGTTGTTAGCATAACCTCACTTTTCATGTTCGGAGTTGAGTTTTGACTTCATGTACCTTCATCCTAAGTGGTTTCCACGAAATACATATTTTTACTTTTGTTGGAAAGTACTCTGATTGCTCCTGGTGTCCATACGGGAATGGATGCAAAGTTCTTCAGATTCATTTTTATTTCTTGGGGTGTTTTTCGTAAATATCTTTTGGAGATATTCTACAAATAAGGGGTTTGAAAATTTAAAACATAATTTTCTTCTTCTTCTCCACACGTTCTGGATCAGATTCCACAGCCCTTCCATGGCTACCACCCCTCTTTTCCCAAATTAACCTTCTTCCCTTAGGTAAAATGTCATAGTGCCTTAGCGTTTTCGAAGGCCTTAGCGAGCCGCATCTTTCCCCCTTATTAGAAACCATTTCCGACCACTTTTCGAGTTCGGATTTGAAGCCAAGTTTGGATTTTGGTGTGACCTCCTTAGGGTTTTATGTTCACCTTGTTGTCCCTGACAAAACCTAAGAGAATTCGGAACGATTTTCTTTCGGTGGGGATTTGTGATTTCATCACAAAATGAGGTAGGTGATGTTTTAGGTTTATATAAATGTTGTATTGAATGTATTTCATGCTTATACAACTTGAATGCATGCCTAGGTATTTTATCTATAATTTAATTTAATTATTTTCTTTGTATAAGATTTAATTCTCATGGTTGTATATAGCTTAGAATTAAATTGTGGCATGATATTAAATTAGGCCTTGATATGTTTGTTAACATATATTAAATTGGGAAGATTTGAATAAGTATTGCAACTTTTAATTAATCTTTCACTTGAATAAAAATTTAATTCTCATGGTTGTAACTAGCATGGAATCAACTTGTAATGTGATTAGGCCTTAGTATGTTCTTTAACATACGTGAATTTGAGGATATTTGAAATTATTTTAAAATCTAGAGAAAATTAATTAATTTAATTAATTAATTTTTACTCTAAGTGTTCTAATCACTTAATTAGATTTTTGGCTTGATATTATTGATGAGTTTGGCATGTTCTATCATATATATTAAATAGAGAATATTTGAATAAATTTTAAAAACTTTATTTGTTTATTTTTTTGGCATTAAGTTTAATTTACATTGTTGTAACTAGCGTGTAATTAGCTTGTAATGTGATTTTAATGTGGGCTTTGATATGTTCATTAACATACCTTAAATTGAGAATATTTGAATGAGCCTTTAATATTTTTTAATTATTTCATTGTATAGAATTTAATTCGCCTAGTGATGCCTAATGTAGAATTAACTTGTATCATAAAATTAAAATAGGCCTTGATACGACCTTCAACATGTATGATTTGTAGAATTTTTGGAGTTACTTTGTAATCTTGAGAATTTAATTATTTAAGTTTATTAAATTCCCTTTTATGCTTCCATTGAGTTAATTAGGCATTGATGTTGTATTCTTACTTAATTTGTAGTTTGAAACTAGTTATATGATTACATGATAGTGTTCCATGAGTTGAAGTTATGATTTAACTTGTAAGTGTACACATTTTACTTACATGACATTTAATATGGCATTGTGGCATGAATGCCTAGGGCATGGCTTGTGTGTATTCCAAGACTTGGTTGTGCGTGGTGATTGATTTTGATGCATTGTGTATATGTGATATACTTATTGCACAATTTGATAATTTTAGGAAAGCTTGTATGGACATTGAAAATTGTTACGGTTAGGGCATGGCTCTAGTACAGGGGATGAGAGTTCCCTCTATTTCATACAGTGTGCACCGGGTGGTACCCTGAGGGTTAGTAACCCAAAATCACCAATATAACGGTTTTATTCTGGGTTTAGTTGCGCACTAGGTAGTACCTTGCGAGCCAGTAACCCGAAACCACTTGCTTGGTCATTGAGACCTTATGTCCTTTGTCTTTCCGTCAATTGTTGATTTCGCATTCAATTTATAGTTGTAATCGTGGATTACTTCTAACTTGTGCTTGGATGCATGATACTTCATTTCTTGCTTAGGATACTTGGATTTGTATACTTGTATGCCTTATATATAAAAAATGCTTAGTATACTTGGATTTGTATATTTGTATGCCATGTGTGTCAACATTGCTTAGTATATTTAGAAATGTATACTTAAATATATATGTTACATTTCCATTTCAATATTGCTTAGCGTACTTAGTGTGTACACTTGTATATTGATGATTTACTTTCGAGTTAACTTAGTATACTTGTGTTTTGTATATCTGTCTTAAATACATTTCAATATTAAGTGTATACTTGTGTACGTATACTTGTAAATTAATTATCTTGTTGCGTTGTACCGCATGCTCCTATGTTGTTTAAATTGCATGAATGATGTGGTTTATGCTTGAAATCCTCTAATGTAGCTTAGGATGCTCCCTGAGTCTCACCTTTGACA